CTCTTATTACGACAGACGTCTGTATATCAAACACCTAAAGCTATTTGCTGAGTTTTAGAACCCTGTTACCAGTTGCACCTAGTCATGCACAAACACAGACTTTAAAATTATCTTGCCTTTTCCAGCATAGCTGCTCATTACTACAGCTTTAAAGCACAGCAAGAGGGTTGCTAAAAGCTCTTATTTTACATTGCAATCTATTTTACTTGCATACTACATCCCATGCACCAAGAAATTGATCCACCCTTTTTTCTCCTGAAAGCATTGTTAAGGTTGCTGTGTCATAATATTATAGCAATTGTAAAAGCCACAACTGGAAGAATTTCCCTTCCAGAATCTAGACCACATTCTTCCCCAAACGGGCACCTTCCCAACAATTACAGTTCTAACATATTTAAGGGCACAATTTTCATGAGATCATATCTCAGTCCTTTTCCTCAGTCTTCTCTGGCATTTGCTTACCACTTTTTCCCATGTTTGTTCAATCTCCTTTCTCATCAGACTACTTAGCTTTGATGGGATAATGTTCCCTCAAACTTCCTACTTCCTTTCATCTTCCTTTTACCCTGGGTTCTTTCTTAGTTGTTCATATCAAAATAAATTACCAACAAGCTGCTATTATTGTGAAATTGTGGCCCCAACCAAATTGACAGCATTTTATTTTCGAACAAAAATGTGACAGCAGACTGGATGGTTACCAATTAATTGGTATCTCAGGATTCAGCATCAGAATGTGTGTGTGTAAGAGAAACAGTAACAGAATTTTAGTTCCAGATTAAGCTTAAAGACAAACAGTGATAAAACGAACATTTAGGATAGATTATTTCAGAATACACTATTTCTTATGGATGTCCATCATGTATCTATGACTGTGATGGCGAACCTATGGCACGTGTGCCACAGGTAGCATGCAGAGCCCTCTCTGCAGGCACACCAGCCATCGCCCCAGCCCAGCTACACCATGCATGCACATGATCCTTCCGCCATCCAGCTGGTCTTCAGATCTGTGCCATGCATGTGCAGGGGGTAGGGTGCATGCACGGGGGGAGCGCTCGCATTGCCCCCCCCCCCATGCCCCTATTTTGGGCCTGGAAAGCCTGCACCAACCTGGAAGCCAAAAATGGGAGGGGGGGGCGCATGCATGGGGGAGTGCGGGGGAGTCGCACGCACATACACAGTGGTCGGGGGATACACGGGGGGAGTCGTCCGTGCATGCATGGGGGATCAGGGTCACGGGTCATGCACACATTGCATCATGGGTGCAGGCACAAGCACACACTATTGCAAGCACTATTGCAAGCACTATTGCAAGCACTATTGTGCGCGCATGTGCACGCTTTTGGCATGTGACGACAATAAAGTTAGCCATCACTGATCTATGGTATTGAAACCCACTCACCCAGCATAATATATTTAACTGTTTAGAATTATTGTTTTTCTTATACTACTGTAAAATAGAGCAGCACATGATTTCATTCTCTCTGAAAACTAGATTTTCATATTATTTTTCAGTATAGAAGAAAATAATATGAGGTATTTGAATCTTATTTTTTAGCCACCTCTTAACTCTGAGTTACTTTTCATTAGAATGTTGCTTGATTGTTGTTAGATTGTTGTTGTTCTATAATGCTTTTCACCAATGAAGTGTTTGCAACAGAAAATTGAATATAGTCATCTATTCTCATTTATTGCAGGAGCCCTCTGGCACAAATGGAAGAAGAAAGGAGAGAGCATGTGGCAAAAATGAAGAAAATGGAAATGGAAATGGAGCAGGTATTTGAAATGANGTTTTGAATTCTTATCGGAGAGTTCTGTTTATGTTATTTCTGGGCTCGAAGCCAGTTTCATGTGAAAACTGATAAAAGACAAGTCCTGTTTAAGTTTGCCTGCCTGTGTTTGTTAACGAGCCGGGAAGGAGGGGACAGAACAGGTAGCCAGATGAAAAGCTGAGCTAAGGACCTGGGACGACCCAATAGACCAGTGATGGCTAACCTCCAAATCGCCTTCTAAGATAAAGTCAAGGTCAAATAGCCATCCAAGTGTTTTTTGCTTTCTCTCCTTTCAGATTTCACATGTTAATCTTCTTCCTCCAGTAGATGGCTCCCCTGCTCCCAATTCCAGTATTCAACAGAGTGTAAAAATCAAAAACAGCCATTCAGGGTAGTTAAAGATGGAGTTTAGAAAGGCAATTTCTCCCAATAATCAATTTTCACAATGTTATTTGACTTTTTCCAGGTTTTTTATGGTTTAAAACATCCTTTAAATATTTCTTTGCATCTGAGTCTTTAATTTTTAGTCTTTCTCTTTGATTTTTAGTCTTTGACCCTTCTCCAGAAATCCTATAACCACTTTCTTACTATTTGGAGATTGTTATTTTATAATTTTTAACTTAGATTAAATCTTTAGGATAAATATTGGAAGGTATCTCACCCAGTTTCACTGTTCTGTCCACTCACTGCTCCAGTACAAGATTTTATTGTCCCAGTTGTCCCAGCTGATGACAGACCAAAATGGCTGTCGTGCCTGCTGCCGTTTGGGAGCGCTTTCTTCAGATCAACAAGGAAATTGCAGTTTCCTTTCTCTCCTTTCTTCATCATCCCTCCATGCGGGTTTGACTCCATAGGGTCTGCTTGCCGGCTGCATTTCATAGAACCCAACAGAGCTCCGCTATTTTCAAGCCGTTCCTGCTACAACATCAACCAGAAGTCTTAATTCTTGATTTAGACTTTAATTGGATTGTTTTTACTATTATATTTTATATATTTAATTGTAATGATGATGTTTGTCCATCATGTTCATAGAGGACGTTGACATCTTACAGGTTGTGGGCTGTCCACAGTCTGCAGGTGGCCAGTAAGGCCTATAGGGGCATGAAATGTTCTGCCACATGTAGGGCAAATGTGTGGGCATCATTGTTGCAGCATTTGCAGCTCTGGTTTTGCAGAGTACTCGCTTCTCTTGTGCTATGGTGGTTCTGTCTTCAGATGTCTGGCAGCCTTGGTAGATAAGCGTACGCCACGTCGATCGATCATGTGCTAGGTTTTTCCAGGAGGTGGTGTCAATATCCAGGGACTTGAAGGAGGCTTTCAACATGTCTTTATATCACTTCCTTTGTCCCCTTTGCAATTGCTTTCCTTGAGACAGCTCACCATAGAGGAGCTGTTTAGGGATGCAATGGTCTGCCATTCTTACAACATGACCTGCTATGGTGTCTGGCACCTTGTCCTGCCACCAGATCCTCAGAATTCTGCAGAAGCAGATCATGTGGAAATGGTTCAATTGCTTATAGTCCAAGTCTCACTGTCATACATCAGGGTAGTTAGAACTACTGCTTGGTAGACTTTGAGCTTTGTAGCAAGGCTTATTTCATGGTGGTCCCACATGTTGGTCAGTAGCCTGCCAAATGCAGAGCTTGCCTTGGCGATTCTGCGGTTAACCTCAATGTCAATTGCTACTGCATGGGAGAGGGTGCTGCCAAGGTATGTAAATTGGTCCACTGCTTGCAGCTTTTGTCCCTTCACTGTGATGGTGGGCTCTTGGTGTTGAGCTTTTGGAGCTGGCTGATACATCACTTCAGTCTTCTTTATGTTGATGAGGAGGCCAAAGTTGTCACATGCTGCTGCGAATTTGTCCATGCTGACTTGCATTTCCTGTTCTGATCTAGCATTCAGGGCACAGTCGTCAGCAAAGAGGTGGTTACATAGCACAGTCTCCTTTATCTTGGTGACAGCCTGGAGTTTTTACAGATTGAACAGTTTCCCATCGGTCCTGTATCTCAGGCTAACTCTCAAGGAACTGTTCTAAAAGACATCTGACAGCATGGCTGAAAACATTGTGCTGAATATTTAATTGTAAAAGCATTGGAAGTTTACATGAAAGCTAGACCATATTGATTTATCAATGAATAAATAAATGTTGGTATTTAAAATATTTTATCACTATTGTGTTAGTACATTGACATTGGTTACAGAACAAAGGAAAAAGATAAGCACACTCTGCTAGAGACAAATTCCCTGAAGATGGGCTCCAGCATGAGTCCGAAAACTCAGAAGACAAAACCTCTGGTCCCAATGACCAACCCAGATTGGATCCTGTAAAAAATAAATGTTTGTAGGCAAATTGCACAGAATAAAAGAAAGTACATAAGACCCAAATTAATATAAGTTTGTCTTCAATATTGGTCAAAACATGTTTAATACTCTCCTTTTATCTATTCCCTGTTTATGAAATATAGTATGTGGTGCATAGTTCTGGAAATTTTTGCTTAATAAAAATTTAACCTTGTGGAATTTTTGCTTCATACTAAACATTTTAATTAATAAATTGTAAATCCATGAACCCTACCTTTATTAAGGTAAGCTTTAGTGGGACTTATTTTTAAGTAAAAATGTATAGTTTTGATAGATGTTCAAGATTGTGGATACATTAGTTCCATGATGGGGAACCTATGGCACACGTGCCAGAGGTGGCACACAGACCCCTCTCTGTGGGCATGTGTGCCATTGCCAGCGGCTCTTCTGCATTCTGGCAGGCCAGTCAGCTGGTCTTCACGGGCGCTGGAGCACTGGAAAACTGCCTGAAAAATGGCCTGAAAACAGCTCAAAAAGCAGCCTGAAAATGCCCCCAAAACAGGCATGTGCATGACAGCCAGCTGGTCTTCGTGTTTCTGACACTCCAGCGTGCATGCACACGCACACACATTCCGGTTTGGGCACTCGATGCCGAAAAGGTTCACCCTCACTGCATTAGTTGGTTCATCAATAAATCTCTTTGTCTTCCTATCCCATCATATCATACATCCCCAAGTCTGTTCTAGTGAATTCCCAAACTGTCTTTTGGGATGGAGTGCGTAGGATATATTGTGCAACAACTCAGCGGAATATTACTGGTTTAACCCTACGTAATCGATTGTAAAACTCCTCCTAAGAACTACTGTATTAAATGCTTGGTTTTTGCTTAAATGGTAACTTGCATAACAGCCCATTTCTCATATTCTTTAGGGGCCTAGTGGCACTTCAGACTCTTCGTAAATTAGAAGAGCTCACTGGGAAGCCTATTCATCAACTTTTTGACTACATTTGTGGAGTGAGTACAGGTAAATTTTCCTGAAATACTGTAATGATGGAAAAAGTCAATTATTTCTTTTGGAAATATTTATGTATTGAAAATTAAAGATGGTTTGATTTTATTTTTAGATTTGCATATCATATCTAATTTATAGAACACCCCCTCCAACCCCTCGCCAGAAAAGTGGTATATTAATATGGGAAGAAAGGGTATCAAAGCAATCCCTTAGGAAAATATACAACAAATGGGTTGAAGACTTGGAAACAACAGAACATATTCATCTGGCAAAAACAGGACCTGTGGAGCACTGCAGGGGGGTTCTGGGGGCAGGGGAGGGTGAAAACGGGCACATGGAGAATTCGGGAGGCCAAAAACTCGCATATTCAATCTACAAGATGCACCTAAGTTTTCACCCACTTTTTTGGGTATACTCCGAAAAATGCTGTAATATTGTAGATTAACCTTGTATAAAACATGAGCAGCTAATTTCTCACACATGACAAAGTCCTGCTCCAAAGTATATGCAAGAAGACAGGGTTAAGTGTTTGTCTGCAGACATTATATTTCTGTCCTGTTTTGTTGTTTAAGGCAGCAAAATAGGGTAGCTGGTTGATTTAATACACTTTGTATTAATAATGTATCACAGATATCACAGTGCAGACTGAATAGAGCTGGTAAGTGATGTTTCAGGTTTCACACTATTGTCTTAAAACACTCGGTGGAGCTATACGTGAACTTTAATTATGATTCGTTGGTTTTTCACAGAGATACCTTCAGTGAGATCTGCAAATCTTCAGAACAGATAATATTTATTCAGTTTCTATAGCTGTCCATCTCAATCAATGACTGGGTGACTTACAATTTAAAAAATATTAAAACACTAGAAACATTTTAAGAATTAAAAAATGCATGTCAGCACCACTGACAAATTCTAATGTTGTACGCAAACTGCTATATACTGTTATCAACCATCCTTTCATAAGATGGAGCAGTGGTGGGTTGCTCGTAGCCGCTACCGGTATGCTGATTGCAGCTTGTCCGTGCATGAGCCTGACGTGTGCTGTGCACGCGCCTGGCATTCGCTGTGCACACATGCGTAATTCACTGCCCCTGCGATACCCAGCTGCTTGTCGGGGCATGCATAGGCTCCGCATGCTGTACAGCTATAGAGCGTGGGCGGGCAGGTGGGCCTAGTACCTAGTACCACCGTACTGATACGCTCTCAGCTGCTCCAGGCCACTACCTGCAGCAACCCACCACTGAGATGGGGTCTTCCAAATGTCTTGGATTACAACTCTCAAGTAAAAGAATACTACTATAAAGAATAATTAGGATAACTTTGCTGGCTGAGAGTTATATCTAATATTTTTATTTAGAATGGCTACTGCAGTAGAAGCAACAATTATGCATATTGGTTGGAGCCATGTCAAGCATGTAGGCTGAACCAGGATTTTTCTGAGGTCTTCCTTTTGAAACTACATCATAACATAATCCGCGTTAATTTCCTGCCTTAGAATCATGGGAATCCATAGTACCATTTTTTTTAGCAGTGGTAGATGGAGAAATCTCTAAAGGCCGCAGAAAAGAGATTCAGGTAGGCTTCATGTGGTTTGGAATCTTAGGTTGCCAATCCTTGCATAAGATGGTAGACATTTAAATTGTTATTCAAATTTATAAATATTTATTTGCAGGTGCTATATTGGCATTTATGTTAGGATTATTCCATATACCTCTGGATGAATGTGAAGAACTTTACCGGAAATTAGGAACAGACGTCTTTAAGCAAAATGTCATTGTTGGAACAGTTAAAATGGGATGGAGCCATGCATTTTATGACAGTGAAATATGGGAGAAAATGCTTAAGTAAGTTAATATGAAATTATTTGCCAATCATGTTTCCTTCAGTATAATCCAAAATATAAAACAGACCTCTTTCTCTATTATATTAATTAATAAGAAGATAGTGTTTTTAATCAGATGTGGGCCTCCCTGTTTTATTTATTGGTGGCTCCTTAAAGAACCCACACCTTTTCCTAGGCTTGCACAGTGATCCCTTGGAAAATTTGTATTTGAGTTAAAGAGGCAACAACAGGGCAGCAACCTAACTAACACTGTATCATATATCCTTGGTATGGAGGTCTTTTTCTTATGATTTTGTTCTGTCATCACTAAATCCATTTTATGGTTTAGAATTTTTTAGCACAAGTAAGCAGAATGTGGAAATAATTATGATAGGCAGATACTTAATTAACAAAGGAACAAAAGTACATTAATCTTGTTTTAAACAGATTTACTAACTTTACAAAGTAATTGAATTACATAAGTACACTAACATAATGCTGTTGCTAAACCTGTGTTCCTCACTGAGACTAGGGAGAAAGAGGTCATTCCAGGTTAGGTCTTATGAGCTTCAGAGCCTTCTACTTACAATTCCCAGCTATCTTCTGCTAGAATATAATATGGGAGGCAAAGCCTTATACAACCATCCTTTGATTGTTGGTTCCATCATTTAGTCCTCATATGATATCTCCTTAATTCAAACACAGATTTTCCTCTATCTAAGGTTAATGTTATAAAGATTTAAATCAAATAGTTGTGTTGATTCAATTCTAACAAACTATATGATTATTTATTACATTTATTTACTGCCCATGTTGCTATCCAAAGCAATTTATGGAAATGAATTTAATAGCTCTGTTTTCTGAATATATGAAGGTGAGTTCTTAGAGCTTGTGGGTTGGTTTCCAAATGTTTCATTGCTAGGCTAGGTAACATGGTCAACAGAGTTTAGTGGATGTCAATGTCAGTGTTCTTCTGTTTATAAGGGCTTTGTGTGGTCTTGTAATGGATCAAGTGAAGGTCTTGTGATTGGTCTCATGATAAGACAGGTATGGGTGTATCATGTGAGGGTCTTGTAATGGGTCTTGTGATGGCTCAGGTATGTAACATCAGTGGAAGTCCTGTGATGGGGAGGTTACATCATTGGGAGGTGAACTGCTGATTGGGAGGCTTGCATAAATTAGTTGAGGGGCAATGCTGTCTCTGGATAGCTGTGGGGTTGATTTGGATTCTGAGGGGCTTGTAGGCTGGTTGCAGGTCAATATGTCTGTTGATGGAATTGTTTGTTGTATCTATGAGCTCATAAGCATGATGGGTGCTAGTGTGGCTGGTGATTTTTGTGTTGCTCCAATTGAACTGGTGCTGTTTGGTGTCAGTGTGAGTAGAAATTAAGGGTTTGTGGTTTGACTGCCAGCTGGTGCTTGTGGATCCTGGGGTTTTTTCTGAATGTATGTCCAACTGCTATTTTTGAAAAGTTAAGATTGTCATTATTTTAAAATTTACTGTTTTTAAATAATCTCTCAAGAAAAGCTGGTAATACTGAAAATACTCTAATGGGTTATTCCTTCTTTCTGTAAAAAAAAACCCAATAGTAATAGATAGTTATAAGGATAATTTTACTGAACTGTTTCTAAATCCCAAAGGCATTCAGGGTTTAAGTTCTTTAAAAAAAAACCTTGGTATTAACATTAATAGAAATGGAGCAATAGAAATTATCCATGGAAATTATTACAATCAGTGATTAGAGATACTGTGCTAAACAGACATGTATCCAAGCTAATTCTCACTTTTAGCACATGCTTTTATACGTTGATTTTAATCAGACTAGAGAAATGAGTGCAAAACTACGCTTCCTACCTGATTGAGAACTGTAGTTCCTAGGAGGAAGGACAGACAGTGCAAACTCTAAAATTGTAATCTTAGCAATTTATCTGGTTTGTGTAGGGAACGAATGGGATCCGATGTTATGTTTGAAACCACAAGAAATCCTAAATGTCCTAAGGTAAGTTTATTTTCCTAAGGTGTTTACTATTTTCCTTGAATTTGTTGCTACCCATGTTTCCCCAAAAATAAGACCGTTGCAAAAGATGCATTTGGGCTTATTTTCTGGTTAGGTCTTATTTTGGGTAAAATATGGTACTGAATGTTTCCATCTGGCTGACAATCTTAACTGGGTCGGGCTTATATTACAATAATCCTGAAAAATCATGCTAGATCTTATTTTCCAGTTGGGTCTTAATCTTTAGGGAAACAGGTTATTTATTTTTAATCATATCTTACAAAGTATTGATATGCATTCTTCTTCCTTCCTTTAAAAAAAGGATGAACAGTTCAAATAGCCTAACAGCTTGTTAGCTGAGACATTCTTTTTTTCTTAGTTTATAATATAAAAAAAATACAAAAGCAAATTGTAGAAAAAATAGGGGAAGGAAAAGTGTAGGAAGGAAAGGAAAAAGAAAGAAGGCATTGATTTCCGATTCACTTGGTGAAAGAGAATAAGATAATAACATTAAACTTCAACTTTTTACTTTTAGATAATAGTATAAACTAGCCATTTCTATAACAATAAATCTATTTAATCAGTAAAACCCAAAATCAAAGTTTCATTGTTTTCCATCTCAAGCACAAAGTCCAGAAGCAGTTTCCAAGTAGAAATAAAGTAGTTGTATTTTTTTTTTCTTTAATCAAAGCAGTCAATTTAGCCATCTCTGCTAACTCCATCAACTTTTGCAGGCATTCATCCATTGTGGGAATCAAAATGTCTTTCCATTTTTGTGCATAAAATAATCTTGCTGCTTTCAACATATGTAACATAAAATTTTTCCCCCCAAGTCTTTTTCCATTAAACCCAAAAGAAAAGCTTCTGGTTTTATCTTTATATTCACTTTAAGAATTTTCTGTATTAGGATATGAATCCTACTCCAATATTTCCTTGCTTTATCACATGTCCAATACAAATGATATAAAGTCCCTTCTTTAAGTTTGAATTTCCAACATTCATTTGAAATACCGTTATACAGGTGGAACTCGAAAAATTAGAATATCATGCAAAAGTTCATTTATTTCAGTAATGCAACTTAAGAGGTGAAACTAATATATGAGAGAGACTCATTACATGCAAAGCAAGATAGTCAAGCCATGATTTGTCATAATTGTGATGATTACGGCTTACTGCTCATGAAAACCCCAAATCCACAATCTCAGAAAATTAGAATATTACATGATATTCTAATTTTTTGAGTTGCACCTGTACATTCTTGACAACTTGTCTGGTTTTAAATACCAGCAATATATACAGTACCTTACAATTTTTTTTCTTTTAAATTATAATTTA